CATTTGTTTCACGAAGCATCGCCATATTATGCGAAGTTAAGTATATGGCAATGAGCATATGAGTACCTCCATTAAGTAAGAGAAAATATTTAGATGCCTAACATGAGGAAGTACAAACATCACTCCAATTACAAACAACCTACGTTCGGAACGACTATTCATAACTTGGAACGCTCATAAAACGTTATTCAACAGCATTTTACATGAGACATTACGGTGTTTCAGTTTTCAGCCGAAAGTAAGCATAATACGCCTTACGACAAAAATCTGGTACATAAAATCCCCACGAAGCGTATATTTGACTGGCCGTTGTCCTAAAACCAACACGAGGGAGAGAAAGAGAACACAAGAAAGTGTATTCAAAAACTTGCATGTCATTGGCTCCCGGAAAAGCTGCGTATGTTTATAGTATCCCGTTCGGGCTGGTTGTATTCGTCCCAAAAGTATACTGCCGACAAAGATAAGGGAGACTGGACTGGGCACTTCTGGCTTATTAGCCGTCATCAGCTAACCCTAAACAACCCCAGGAGTGGCGATCCCAAGGTCCTTGCAATCCGCTTCAGGAGCAAATTTCAGAAGAGTTGAGTAACTTCTTGCGGACGTGGATCGAACCCTCTGGTCACAGCCAATGCGGGAGATTAAGGAGCGCGCGTTCATGGTAGGCAGCGTGAGAAAGGTGCACACGTACTTTCCGTGAGATGACTCATCGTGGAAGTGTGAATATTCCCGACAATAATAATTCAGTAGATAAGTTTTCTTATTATGAAACACACTGCAGCCGAGCCAACGCAAATTGGACTTGCAGTCCTCTTCCTGTGTGGATCTTCGTAAGTTTAATGCTCGTGCCTCTATTTCCCTCCCACTACACTGAAAATTGGATGATGTGCTAACCATAATTTGGATGCTTTCCAAATGTCTAACAGTTCTTTCTTCCATTCTTTTAGGATGCTCGATGAACTGACTGATATCCAGAATTCTATTGATCGTCTTCGTGACAAGCTGAACCTGTCTGAGAACAATTTGAAGCATCTCCAGGATACACAACTTATGTTGGAAAAGGAAATACACATGAAGAATAATTCAATTCAAGTAGACAAGGATCATTGTGTGCGTCATCGCATGGCCTTTCCGGACGCTGTGAGACTTGAAGGCCATTAAAAACGAACTGCTTCGGGTACAAGAACGTGGACCGTATTTTAAGCGTGTACAAATACCGTTCATAAGATGTGGACGATTGGCTGTTACTATTTATGTCGAGTTACTTAAACAGTTTAAGTAGCGTTAATATCTATATCGTAAAAGTTTGCCAACACTGTTTGAATGACAGACGAGATGGGCTTGACAAGGGTTGTTTTCATGCTATTTTTAATAACCAAAAGAGTAAACTGGGACAGCGTACTTCGCACCTGATGACGTAGGCCCAAACAGACCAGCTAACCTCAAAACACGGTCTTAGCGCTGAAGTTAAAACCTTGCGAATACTGTGTAATAGCATCATTTGTAATTGGAATTTTGTATTAACTGAATTTATCGCAGGGGGTTAATTGAGTCAAACCCAGCAACTGCGATCTTCAGACCATGGTTACTTAGTGCAGAAGAAGTCGGTGAAGGCCAGAGTAGAGGGAAGAGTATATTGTGTACACAAAAGAAAGGAGAATAGATGAGAGAAGATTGATTTGGGAGAGCCCGACCACCAAAGAGATTCACCGGGTCCCACGCGAGGTCTTAGCAGCAATCAAGCCAGAAAACAGAGAGAGAGAGCGCGTCCATTGGCTAGGTTGGCCTGGAGATTTTGGGCAAAGA